ATCTTAGAACGTAAGAACTTCCAAGCTTTTGCTGGTCTTCTCTTTTACTTAAACAACATTTCAGCAAGAATCCTTAACATCGGATAAAAAACCAGTCTTCGGTTATTTGATTACTTCCCTTTTCTAAGGGAACGCAAAAAAGGATAATAATTAAGCACTGAGGTGTTAGGTTTTCCCATTTTTACTGAAACTGCAAGCTGGATAAAGTCAAGAAAACACGTACATTATGAATGCACATCACAGATATTCTAATCTTTTTTAAACTTAACTCCGCAAGTGTTTGACGTAAATCCTTGAGATAAAATCGTAAAGCTTTACGTTTTTTGAAATTGTCACATTTGCTGATTTTACAAATCGTCAGCGTGAACTGAGATAACAGCTGTTGAGAGTGTTGATTGAACCGCTCAAGCACACAACTTCAGTTTCCATGCGGCTTTCGTGAATTTTGCAGCTGCATAGAACCTATCAACACATTTTTTGAGTACATTTTGGGTTGTTTGTTGTGCTTTTGCACAAAGACATCTGCAATGCATAAGTTCTATGAATTTCTCCGGAATATCCGCCATTTTCGCGCAACATTTACAATTTTTATCTCGTGTCGCGTCACCCTGAATATCTCTGGTATGATAAGTGTATTCCTATTGTTAAGGCTGAAGCCGCATGTTCTCCGTCAGGAGTGCGGCGATAGCGGCAGTTACACTATGGGTTTTTATGCTATTCTATTTATCAGCTCAACTTTTCGGATTGCAGGGGAAAGGTATGTCAGGTGACGTTTTTCCACACCGAAAAAATCCTATTGAGTATCGTTATTTGAAAGCTAGGAGTTCTAGATCAACCTTTTAGCTCGATACGAAGAAGGCGCAGTTAGCAGTCAACTGGAAGAAGCCTTGCAAGATCTGCGAGAGCTTAAAGTGCAAAATGAAAATTTGAAGGAACTGATCAAAGCGGAGAGACGAGAGCGCGCAGAACGGGATCGCGACCTCATCAGGAAGGAGAAGTATGATACAATCTGTTTGAACTTACAAGGACAATTATTCTATAGCAATAGCACTAACCATTTATTCATATAATGCTAGCACCATCCCATACGAAAACGTATATTCTGCTAAATTCAAACAATGATATATCACGATGAAGTAATAATCACGAAATCACTTTAACTGTCTATGGTAGTGCACTTTATCAAACAACTCATAATATCAAATTTTGGTTTCTCGATTTGCTCGTTTAAGACGGCATTCTTCCATAATAAGGAATGCCGTCTTAAACGAAA